AAGATAATAAAAAGCTTACTATGGTGGTTTCTCAACAGTCCAGGTAAAAATGTGGCACCCTTTGAAGAGGGTTCATAAAAATGGGAAGTGCTGAGATGCGTGCACACCCACACACAGGCACACCCACGGACACAGACCTGGGAACACACGTGTGCACACACACACACACACACACACACGCAGGGACACGCACACGCAAACGAAACAAAACGAAAAAAAACAAAACAAAACAAAAAAACCAACGTTAAGTCAGTTTTGTTTCTGCTTCTGGTAAAGTGCTGAAGACAGAAAGGTTGGTTTGGGTGTGGTGCTATCAAACAGGAAACACATTGTCCATCTAGTCAAATGCCAACCCGCGACAAAGAGAAAAAAAAAAAAAAGGAAAAAGAAAAAGAAAAAACAAACAAACCAAACAACCAAACCCCACTTCCCCCCCACATCTCGGATTTACAGGGGGCCGTGTCGAGCTTCGTACTTGGCCAGGACGTTCTTGCACTTGCCCAGCTCTTTCCGCAGGTCGGCCACCTCCTGGCGCAGCGCCGAGTTCTCCTTCTCCAGGAAGGAGGCGCGGATGGCGATCTGGTTCTCCTTCAGCCGCCGCGCGTCCCGCGAGCGCTTCGCTGCCATGTTGTTCTTTCTGCGCCTGGCCCAGTATTTGTCATCCTGCTCATTAAACACAGCGAGAGACAAACGAGGTATTACATTTCGGTAAGATGAAGCTGCCAGCCGGACGCCCTCCCGAGCCGCCGCCTCCGGGGCTTCAGTGCCATCCCAGCCCGGCAGCGCCGGGCACGGCGGGACAGGAGTCGCAGCTCTACACGGCACAACCCGCCCAGGGAGCGCAGATGCCCTCGCATGTTTCTGTCAAAATGTTTACACTAACCCCCTCATCCTCTTGACAGTGAATTCCTCCAAGGAAAAACGAAGGAATATTCCAGTGGTACAACCCCTCTCGCATCTCTGCTGCCCTAGTTAGCACATCCACCTTCGCGTGCCGTGACTCACCCTCTGCAGTGGCTGGAGCAGCACTAATTACCTCTGGCCCTGCTCAGCTCTGCCAGCCAACACCTGCTTCACTCTCTCTGTTGGTATCACCCATTTCATCTACTGCTCAGCTCTCTTTTTTCTCTTCAAAGCTCTCCACAGAGCCCCAAAGTGTTCCTGTGTGCACCACCAAGTCACTGGAAGAGGATTCCCTGGCACAACAGCGATGGCTGCCCTGGTACCAACCACAGAGATTAGTACAATAAGCTTTTACTGTGGGAAAAAAAAGAAAGCGTTGGCCAGAAATACTTCCACTTCCCCCTGAAGTTTCATAAGCTAATACATTCCCAAAGTGCTACCCCAGAAGGATTGCCTCTAGGAGATGACCTTACTGCACTGGTGCACCAACGGCTCGAAGTAACTACTGAATTTCACCTGATTTTTCCACTCGTCCAATGAAGTGGAAATGCAGCACAGCACCATGCCCAGCACAAGGCACAGGACCCAGCTGCTCCTACGCTGCACTGAGCACACAAACACCCACCACTCCTGGATCCTTCAGCCTGGAGCATTCCCAGCCTAATCCTGCTGCTCTGCACCTTCTGCTGCTGCTTCCTTAAGGCAAGGCAGGAGCAAAACAACTGCTGGCAGGAGGACTCTTGAACTGCTTTCTATTAGTCTGGCTCAACAAGTTGTGTAGCAATGCTGATTTGGAGCCAGTGCTATCTCTGAATTGCTCTTCACCTGTACTTAGATGGGACCCCCAAAAATCCTCTTAAAAACAAGCATGCAGCAAAAAGCTATGACCCAAATCTTGTTTATAATTTCCCATCTCATTCCACTCCATAAAAATCAGCTTTAAGCAATTTATTAGTGTGCCACCTAGGCTTCATCCCTCTTTATTTTAACAAATTGCTATGGCAAATCCCTTAATCCAGGCCTGAAAGAGGTAAGGCTGGCATTTCCAAATCACATGCAGCCCAGAGACGATTGACTGGTCTAATCTGCTTACCCTCCCCCAAGACCCAGCGCCGCTCCACATGCCAGGGCAGAGGCAGCGCGTGGGTCAAGCGCCCTGAAACGAGTCAAGGGCAACCCAGGGGATTATCCCCAGGGAATGAGAGACCCTGAACTTCTAGCTCATTCCCAGGTGGAAACTAAGTGCCCCACTGCTGCACCCTGGGCACTGCTGGGTGCCACCTTTGGAGCCAACAGCACCTTTGCCAGGAGTTTGCTGCGATGACTAAGGATACCTGGGAGACATCACAGAGTGAGGAATGGCACTAAGGAGCAAACTCCTGCCATTCCTGTGACAAACACCTCTCCCTAAGCAGAACCCCAAACACTGCAACCCAACAGGGAATCACAGGCAGCAGAATTCACCCAGGCAAGCAATAAAGTGCAGATAAACCTCTGTAAAGCAAAGACGAGGATACCACAGACAAAGCGACAGTAACACACCACCTGAACACTCCTGGAGTTGTGATTTCTGTGCTCTCAACTTGCACCACAGTATCCTTAGGGATAAAAATAGCTTCTTTCCCTAATGCTATCAACCTGGTGCAAACACATGGCATCCCAGTCTCTGTGCACGTGCAGCCAAGGATTCCCACACTCCAGCAGGCTCTCAGTCTGTGTCTTGGGGGCAGCAGCAACAGTAGAATGAAATTCTGCACTGACTGCCTCTGATAAAAATGATCTTCTGGGAAAGCACATACTGGGAAAACAATCCTGCAAATAATAATTTTCAGAGTGTTTGATAACCTGGATCAGTCGATCGACTTTCCTGCTGTCTTCATGTTCTCTGCTCCTCACATCTCAGAGGCAGTGAGTGAGTGGCAGAGACAGGGTGCTCATTCTTTTTAAATATTGTGGTAGTATAATATTTGAACTACTGTATTAAAACACACCTCTCATCTGAATAATTCTGTTCTGTTTTCCTACAACTTGTCTATGATTCTTTCACCTGGATTAGTGAATATGTATTAGTGAAATACAGTGTTTACTGTAGTGTTCCCATTCATCATTAAACACAGCTAAGGCACCATCCAAACAATACAGAATATACTTCATTCTGTTATCATCAGGGTGCTCCATGGACCCTGCAGGAGATGGATTCTGCCTTGAAGAATTCACAATCTACACTGAGTAGACAGAGGATGAAGAAAAAGGAAACATGATCAGGCTGTTTCATAAGTGGGAAATATGGGACAAAGCAAGCTCATCCAAGGTCACACAGGAAGTTTCTGGCATACAAAGGAAATGAATATTGAGCTCATGAATTTCAACTGTTGCATAACTAATAAGGGACATCCTCCTGTCAGTCTCATTCAGAACCCTTAATAGTTTCATCCTACAACAGAGTTGTGTTTAGGTTGGAAGATTTACCTCAGAAGAGAAAACAGATTTACCTCA